CTTGTCATCTGACTTCACGTGTTTCCACAAACAGTTCTATGCACATTTTTTATGGGGCAGCGATGCGCCATGTTACAAAAAGTGCTGTACCTAACTTTAAATTTAAATTTTTGTTAGAAATTCTTTATATGGAAATTATTCATTTCTTATTACAGATTGAGAACTTGGAACAAGATATCGAAGAAAAAAGGAAGCAAATGATGGTTTTAGAACAAAGAATAGTTGAGAGTGGTGAATCTTCCGTAGCTAACTCATCACTGGTTGAAATGCAGCAGGTGGCTATTTTGATATTGTATTATACTTGAAAAATGAAGTTCTATTTATGAGTATGCTTCTATAAAGCTCATTTATAATTCTGTATTGCGGCTTTGTCGTGACAGACAATCACAAGATTAATGACTCAGTGTGATGAAAAGGCGTTTGAGCTGGAGGTATGTGCTATTTTATATAAGGACGTTTCTTTACCTTGCGTCATCAATTTATTTCCAAAACCCACTGATTTTTTCCAACTAGTACTTTGTCAATGCATTTTACAATTTCTATTTTTAATATGGAATATGAATTTGTGAATTTTGCTAGTCACATTGATTATTCACTTATAATAACTGCTATTTTTAAATATTTATCTATAGATTAAATCTGCAGACAACCGTGTTCTTCAAGAACAGTTAGATAATAAGGTTGGTGTCTATCTTTTTCGGTTGTTTTCTTCGTCCTTAAAGTTAAAGATGCTGCATAAACCACGTCTTATTATGAAGTTGTCTGTCTGTTGACACCCGTGTTTTTTGCTGTAATTTTGTTGATAGTGTTCTGAAAACAGAGAATTGCAAGAAAAGGTGAAGCTGCTAGAGCAGCACCTGGCAACAGTTACCGGTGGTACCTCGTCAGTGCTTACTGATCAGTGTCCTTCTGGAGAACACATTGATGAGTTGAAAAGGAAAATACAATCCCAGGTAATTGATAATGTATTCTTTTGTAGTATAAGGGTTTAAAGTATTAAGTGCTTTTTGAATCATCTTTCATTTGGTTTCCATTTGTTTCCTTGCGTGGTTAATGCTTCCCTGCTTGTCTATATACATTGCTTTCAGTCTGTTTATTATTATTGTTGATAAGCTCAAATAAGGGTTACTATTTAAAATCATTTTTAAGGATTCTGCATGAACTAATTACTTGCGGATACTATCGTAAGCAATAGTTATATTTGTCCAATTTACAGTTGTGATTTGATTGAATTGCGCAACTGACATTTTGCTTCTCTCTTCAGGAGATTGAAAATGAAAAACTGAAGCTGGAGCAAGTTCACTTGTCAGAAGAGAATAGTGGGTTGCATGTGCAGAATCAGAAACTCTCTGAAGAAGCGTCTTATGCCAAAGAACTGGCCTCTGCAGCTGCTGTTGAATTGAAGAATTTGGCTGGGGAAGTGACCAAACTTTCGTTGCAGAATGCAAAGTTAGAAAAGGAATTGATGGCTGCTCGAGACCTGGCTAACAGTCGAAATGGTGTTGTACAAACAGTTAACGGTGTTAACCGCAAATACAATGATGCAAGATCTGGGAGAAAGGGAAGAATTTCTAGCCGTGCTAATGAAAGTTTGGGAGTTGGTTTGGATGAATTTGAGTCTTGGAGTCTTGATGCTAGTGATCTGAAGATGGAGCTACAGGCTAGGAAACAACGAGAGGCAGCTCTTGAGGCTGCATTAGCTGAAAAGGAATTTCTGGAAGAAGAATACAGGAAAAAGGTTGAAGAGGCCAAAAATAGAGAAGCCTCCTTGGAGAACGATTTAGCCAATATGTGGGTCCTTGTCGCTAAGTTAAAGAAAGAAGGGGGTGCCGTCCCTGAATCAAACATTGATATAAAAGAAGTTGATGTAGAAGCACATACAAATGATCCGAAAAGTAATGACATTGAAGGTAGTATAGTCCCCAAGGAGCCTGTTATGGATGTATCAATTCCAGAAAATGAAGTAACCAATGAAGAACCTTTGGTTGTTCGTCTTAAGGTAACCCCCATATGACGTTAATTTGTATGTTTCTTTAACATGGAAAATTTTTTAACTGATTATTTTTATTTAGATCCCGAGTATTAAATAGTGTCAGTTCTCAAATAGCCATAAATTCTTCGTTCATAAACCCATTTAGAAGTCCAAATCTCCTTCCAAATCTTTTGTTTGATAAACCCAATTAGCTCAAATAATGATATCTTTCAGACTGCTTTCTCTTTCATGAATTTTTTTTTCTTAATTTTCAAGGAGCAATGGCTGTGTCACACCTTTTTACAGTTTTTCTTTGTCTGTTAAAAAAGTTTAGTCACCAAGGAGGTAGTCTAAATTCTATGGTAGTGCGCAGTATATGCAGTTGTTTTGACTGTGCTGTTTTTACTTTGCATGATAATTATCTTAATATTTTGAGGTGACTAGACCTCAGAAGGCACCGAATTACCTCAATTTTACTGTACAGCTTTGTAACTCGTAGTGAAACAAAAAAATCTACATAGATACACTTTTTGATCTGTAACTTAACGATTTTTTAGGCACGCATGCAAGAGATGAAGGAAAAAGAATTCAAGCATCTTGGCAATGGAGATGCCAATTCTCATGTTTGTAAAGTATGTTTTGAATCTTCAACAGCTGCAATTCTTCTTCCATGCCGGCATTTTTGTTGTAAGTCCTTCGTACATTGCCCAGTATTTTCTAGTCTCCATTTTGGCAATTTCCTTTGGTTTTACAACTTTTTTCAGTCTGAATTACAACCTCTTGTATTCCTTTGCAGTGTGTAAATCTTGTTCACTTGCTTGTTCTGAATGTCCAATATGCCGCACCAATATTTCAGATAGGCTTCTTGCTTTTACTTCTTGACTCATTAAATAAAGGTATTTTTGCAATATTTTACATATGCGAGCCATATTCAAATGCTGTTCTAGGATAAAGTTATAACATGTTTTCTATTTTGGCTGTTGAAAATATTCCAGGGTTTTATCTCATTGAACTAATATATCCACGCGGTAAAAGGTGCAATTCTTTCATTGGTATTTTTGTATGTAAAACTGTTTAAAAGGTATATCGATAATATCTTTCTTTTACTCTACCCTAAAATTGTATAATAGGGGGAGATCAAGGGGTGGGAAAAAGGAATGTAAAGAGGAAATGGAAAGGGTGAAAACAATACTGCTGCAGTACATGTACACAAAGTGTGTTTGTTTGATGTAATACAGCAGGTTTTTTTGTTGTATATCCTGTGTCTTTTCCTGAGTACAACATCGAGTTTCCTCCGTTTCCCCCTCAGATATTTGGGTGCTTTAACAAAAAACTTGTGATGCAGAGCTCTGATTCTACTCTTAATATTGCCTAGTTGCTAATTTTTTGCAGTGCGCTGAGTATTTGGAAACCTATTAGAAAATTATTCATTGACAACCAAAATTGCTAATTTATTTCTCGAAGGTCGCCTGTAGCTTTTTCAAACGCCAGTTTTACCAAACTATAAAGTTATATATATATATATATATAGATAGATAGATAGATAGAATGATGGTAGTAATAGAGTTTAAATCTATAGATTCGTGTAAGGTCCTCGTTAGCCACCTTATCACTAAGAATACAAAAATGCTAAATCTTCCGAAAATGATATCCGAAACATCCTCGGAATTATTAAATTTTTTGAAAAGTCATATGTATTTTGACCAGCGCTAACTTTTTAGCTATTCGGAAAAAATTTGGGTGCATTTTTTCGGAGTAAATGGCATTACTCCTAAGAATATAGTTTATGTTTAAAAAATAAAATGGAAATTGGCATGGTTTATTTTGTTGTAGACTACTATGCGTTTGAAACAAATCATTACTTTTATTATTATTATTATTATTATTTTCTTATCTAACTACGTCAAAGACTTTTTTTAGTATTGATAAAATTCTTATGCATTACACGATAACATTATTATTTTATCTCTTTTATTATGAATTTATGGTATTCTTAATTGTCTTCAATTTGTATTTTTAAGGTAAAATGTAGTGTTTGTTTTAAAATAATAGATAATACATCTTTCACGTATAATTTATTTTTAACATCAAATCAAATTTAATACATAAATTGTGTGCGATTAAAATGTTATGTTCTTCGAATCAGTTTTTAAATTAACATTATTTCATTCACTCAATTTTGTTTGCAGTATTTTTGCATAAATTAATGGACTCCATAAAAATGGTTATAATGGAATATGTTAGTTCTTTTAGTTTAAAATTATTTTTATTATTTTCATATGATCTTTTATATGTAATTTAATTCGTATATGAAAACTTATTGTCTTCAAGAATGAAATATTATGAAAATTAACTTTGTAGTTGTATTAAAAAATTAAAAAATAAACACAATCCATTATCTTTTTTTTTATTTATCAATATATAAATTCAGATCTAATTGATATGTTATTTTTTTTTATAATGACTACTAAAAACAAAAGGATACCTCTCTATTATATCAATGAGTAGTTAATTGAATGGTGTAAGTAATTTATAAACTAATCGTAAAAGTGTTAAATTAAAAATAGAATGTATATATTAACAAAAATTATCGTCTTTATTATAGTTATAAATTATATATATATATATATATGTAGTAAGATAATTTATTTATTATGTTAATTCTAATTGATTGTGTATATATATATATATATATATATTTTTTCAGAAAGATAATAAATTAATAAAATTATGAATACATTTTTGTACAAACAAAAAATTACCCCGTGCACACTTTATTCATGCATCGCACGGTCCAGTGTCCCCCCTCGATTAAATTGAAATATTGTCACGTAGTTTTTTCAGTGCAATCATGTATACGGGCAGCGTGTGGTTCAGCGGTAGGGGTTGATCCACGCTTAAGCAAGGTCAGGGGTTCGAATCCTGCCTTGTGTATGCAGCCGCGTTAAATCTTGGGGTCAACTATCCCACCCTTTGAGGTGTCTCCAACGTAGCGAGGAGATTAGTCACTGCTGTCGGCGGTGAATACTCCAGGGACGAAAAAAAAAAAAAAATCATGTATATGGGCCTTTTCAAACTATACACAACTGCTGGTTGCTTATGAGCATTTACTCTCAACTGTGGGTTGCAGTCATGTACACTGTACGTACGAATGGCCTTTTTGATATAAAGAACTTTTTCTCATAGAAATGCCTCAAGGTGTTAGCTGAAGTGAATATTACGAAAGAAGAGCGTTAGATCTGTGGGGCAATTCGTGCCAACATGGAAAGAGAAAAAAAAATGAAGGCTCGTACGAGAAAAAAAAAACTACAAAGAACGAATATTAACACTAATTTTGTTTTTTGAAGAAAAAAAAAACAGAAAACAAAACGGGGGATATTTTCCGAAAAACAATTTTTCACATAGAATTGATTAACGAGAGCGTCTGCATTTTTTTATCAATTGAGGACTGATTGAAGGAACTTTGTAGACAGCGTAGTCATTGTTATATACCCAATTGGAGTATCCTTCACTGGCTTTGGCTTTAGGCATTTCCATAGCTCCAACTAAAGAATCAATTCTTGGATGAAGATTCGAATGAGTGCTGAGTTGGGATTGTGGTGCCCACGTTTGCAGTGGGAACGAACACATGCCTGCTTGAACATCTTGTCTCTCAAACGCTGATTGGTGATCATAATCCTGAAACAACACCAACTCACCATTCAAACCTTGTTAAATAAAAAATAACCCACTTTTTATCCACGTCTCTAATTGAAGTTAATCATAAGATTGCTCTAAAGTATTATTCTCTTCTAAAATAATTCACTAATTGATATATTTTACTAACATTCAAAAATTATTTCAAGGGGTACTAAATACTACTAATAATGATACCATACCTTAGAGAAAGCATTAGATGCAAATGAAGCATCTAGAAGATCTTCCATGCAATAACCGGGAATGGTCTCAATCAAGTACTCAGAAATGCTGCTTGTTGAAACCGAACCCGTGTCACAAGCCAAGTTGTCTCCAACCATGCGAGAAGAACCGATTTTTCCATTTGAGCATGAACTTGGTGCGTTCATATTAGAACAAGAGGTTGTTCTTTCTCCAGTGGCAGTCACATTCGAGGGAAACGATGTCGGTTCTGAAGAAGCTGCACCGATCTTTACGCCAGTGAGAAGAAACCTGTCGTGCTTCTTGGTGTGTTCGTTGACCAAATGAACAGAAAGGTCACATTCTCTACAAAGTATTGCTCTGTCCTCTTTGCAGAAAACATATGCATGCCTCTCCTGCAATAAAAACAAACCATTTCAGCATGCTTTTATTCAACGGTTTTATTTGAGGTATTGTCCAATTAAGGAAGGGGCATCTTTAATTATATACTACCTTTTGACTCTTTTTTGGTTTGTGAGAAGAATATTTCTAATCAATAGAAATCCAATTCAAATTAATTCTTATTAACGTAAAAGAATTTAATTGTTTACCAACTGTGTTGAACCATGTTGGTACAATGGTACCATTTGTTTTATTAACATACTTAAACAACTCAGATATCTATTAACAGTGTTGAATCTTGTTAGTACCATTTGTTTTGTTAACATGTTTAAAAATTCAGTTATATATCAACTGTGGAGAACTTTGTTGGTACCATTTGCTTTTTCAACATACTTAAAAGAAACTCGTGATATCTACTAATTTTGCTGGACCTTGTTCGTACCATTTGCTTTAATAAACATATAATGTGAATAAGGAAGAGAGATTCAATTCTTAAGTGATACAAGACATTATTTTTAGTTTACTAAACAATAATGTAAATAAGGAAGAGAAAAGGAGTGAGTACATGACAGATATCACAAAGAGGGGTGTCTTTGGAGTTGGAATGGTGAAGAGAGAAGCGTTTGTGTTGGTGTGCGAGCTTGTTGGCATGGTGGATGGTGCGATCACAAGCATGGCATAGACATGCTTCATCTGCGGGACAGAACAACGAAGCCACTTCATTTTGACACACATCACACTGGATCTTCATGATCTCTGGCTTTGTTCAACGTTAAATTGGTTTTGAGGCCAAGGGAATAATAAATAGGGACAAAAGAATTATGGGCGTTTCAACATCATGGTCCTAGAAAACAGCTAGGCTCAATGAGGGGTATTAAGTGTGTCTGTCTGAAAGAAAACTCTGGATGAATGAATGCCATGGCTATGATCTCTTTTCTCTCACCATGTTGTGTTGTGTTTCTCTTTCAATGAGTAAAGTGGGAGAGAGCAAGTTGGCTTAATTTATTTTATAGCAAAAGCTTTCACTCTCACAGTCTCACTGTGACTTTGTCTGAACTTGGAGGCAGCATGGTATGGCTTCATCTTACTCTCGGTTTTCTTTTCCATATGTTTCACAATTATATTATTCATGTAAAATATTTATTTCTTGAAAATTTTGATTGATTTATTTTAATAAATTTTTCTTCAACTATTTTTTTTTCTTCTTTTTACAATATTTAAACTCGATAAATTGATAGTGTTAATACCGTGGCATCGGTATTAACTAATTACGTCATGATAAATGTTTATGCCCTTAACCAGCATGTGGGAGAGCCTGCTTCATGAAATAATTTTTCAATTAGTATATATGCAGTTATATCATTTGAGATTAATAGTTAAACTAAATTAAATATGTATTAATTGATTCACTCTCAAATATATGGTGGGCGACTATTTTTTTTTATTCATAAGAATTGATTTGAATTCAATATTATTTGCATATTACTTAAACTCTATCACTAAACTAATTTCATTGGTTAAACTAATTAATTTTAAGTATAAATATGATTATCTAAAAAAATTGTATACAGATGATTAGGAAATCGAATTCCTATAATCATATTTAAGAAATACAAATATTACTAACCGTAATGGATTTTATTGGTAGACAAAAATATATTTAACATTGTGCTAGAACACATTTTTTATGAATTATTTTTTAATTCTTTTAACACTACACTTAATTGTATGTTAAAAAAACCCGTAGTTGAAATAATTGGAACATGTTTTCCTTTTCATTTTAAGAATTTCAAATCAGGTTAATCATTTTTCAATTTTAGGCGTATTTAATTAATCGGAATATGAGTATATATGTTCCATACGTCTACGGATATGCTTTCCAATTGAATAATATTTTATGGCATGACATGTGAGAATGCAAACTAAGATACCATTTTTGTCCAAGCAAATTAACAGCCAGAGCCAGAGAAGCCTCAACAAGAAAATATCTAAAAGATATTTGGAATATGAAAATGAATTATCTGTGTTCTCAGTCATGATGTATGAAAAAATTGTATTGAAGATGAGTTTAATTTCTGTACACAAATAATTTTTTTTTTTTTTTACAAGTGTACACAAATAATATTATGTAATTGTAAATTAATTAATCAAAAATTATTGTTAAGATGACTTTTAAAATATTTAATATAAAAGTTAATAAAATTATCATAAATAAAAAATTGTAATTAAACGAGAGTGTAAACACCTTTTACTATTTCAATTGAAAGACTATTTATTCATTGAAAAAGAGTGAAGCACACAGTATATCAAAAAGGAAACTTTTCAATGTTGAGAAACAACATTTATGGGCTAAACGACCATTTTGGAACAGTTTTACAAATTATTTACTAAAATGGGGTTATTTTGAAATATATTACACCTTTGGGGCTGTTTTCTACGGTGTCGCTATGGGCCATAGCGACACTAGTGACACGTGACATTTTTGTAACTCTAGCGAAACCATGAAAGCCATATTGATAACGTCGCTACAGCCTATAGCGACACAAAACAGCTCCACTAAAGTCGTTATAGCCTACAACGTCAAATATTTAATATAAAAAAAATAATTTTACTATAAGTAAATAATTTTAAAAAAATAATTTGTGAAAGTGTCGCTATAACCCATAGCGCCACCCAGTTAAAAATTAAAAATGATAAAGAGAAAAAAAATATAACATAAAGAAAAAAATAGAAAAAATAATTATATAAATATAGATTTTTATCAGAAAATAAATTAAAATCTGGAAAAAATTAATTAAGTTAATAATTTAAAAAAAAAAAAAAAATAAAACAAAAAAAAGAAGTAGCAGTGTTCATAGTGACACTACTTTTAATTTTTTTTTTCCACATTCAGGATATTCAACTTTCTCTATTCAAAAGTAAAAAATTATATAATTTCATTTTTTTAATCCCCTTTTCACATTGTAGTTAGCCGGTTATCTTACTCAAATATAATCATATAAATCATCCATTCACTTCACCTTGCACACTAGCCAGCTTGTTCTTCCACAGTGTCGCTATAAAATAAAAAATGTTGGTGGCGCTATGGCCTATAGCGACACTGTGTCACTATAGGCCATAACGCCACTTAAAAAATAAATATAATTTAATTTAAAATTAAATTTTTACATACAGAACTTAATTTTAATTTTATAAATATATAATAAATAACTTAATTTATTTTTTTTATTTTACATTTCTATTATTTTTGTTTTTTTTTTCTTATATGGTGTCGTTATGGGCTACGTCATTTTTATTAGCCCCTCAACTGTGGTGGCCCAACCTATAGCGACACTCGTGTGACTCATTCCAGCCCAACCAAGACCAAAAAATAAAATTGCCACATGTCACTGGTGTCGCTATGGCCCATAGCGACACCGTAAAAAACAGCTCCAAAGGTGTAATATGTTTCAAAACAACCCTATTTTGGTAAATTGTTTTTAAAACTGCACCAAATTAGTCGTTTAGCCGCATTTATGAGAATATATCTGCCCCCACTTTTAAACTCACCCTTTTTTTTCATTCAAATTGATTTTGTCATTCCCAACTAGCATTACTAAAAACAGATATAACATACATTTAATTATTTGATATAACTGAAAATTTTAGACTTAGCTTATCACCACTTTAATATAACCTTAACCTCTCTTGCCTGCGCAAATGAAACTTTAGTTTTAAACATTATAAACTAAGATACTAACCTAGGATTACCGTTGACCAAGGTTTGTTTGCTATTATGGAGTATAAGTTTTATTGTAAATATACATTTTTTTCAAATCTTTTCTTTTGTTAGTCTTGTTATTGGTTTTAAATTCATTGTGCTTTCGATCTTAAAATTGAATTTGTCCGATTCTCAACAAATTTATGAGACACCAAAAATTATGTTATTGTAAATATAGTCTATATAATTCACGAGTTTAGGTGTTTAGAATATTTGTTGCCTTTTTGAGGGAAGACATAAAAGGTGAACAACATTTTACAGAAGTACACGACTGTGATGAGAGGAATCCTAACAAAACATATTTTTTCAAATAAATGTTGATCTTTCACGCTCTTTTAAATATATTCTTAACAATTTATTAAAATTAATTCATTATATTATGTAAATTTACTTCTATTTTATACATTGATTACACCAAATAATAATAGAATAATTTGTATTTTTGTCATTTATTTTTATTAATCTACAATTTTAGTCTCTTATTTTAAAATAAAAATATTTAATTTCTTAATTTTACAAATACAAAATTTAACAAATTGGTATCAATTAATTGTTAAGTATTAATATTTATTCATATTTATATGATGTAAAATTTAGTGACATAATATTTAAAGATTAAAAAAACTAAACAAAAAATCATGAAAATATAATTTATTAATAAAATAAATATCAATTATTTATTAAAATAAATATAAATGAATATTTTGTAAGTTATTTTGTTTTTATCTCAACATGTTAGGTTACTAAATATCATATCATTTAAGTGGTAAAAGATTATTAAACAATGATAAAATTTAATAATCAAATATTAAAATACATATTAAGACTAAAATTTTATATTTTTTTAAAATAGGAGAGTACATATCCTTATTTTAAAATAGGAGAAATAAAATTCAAGATTGAAAAAATATAAAGATTAAAAGTGAAATTTATGTATAATTAATATGCAGGAAGAATGTTTACAAAGTAATCTTGACTTGAATTTTTCATTTTAGTATTATTTTTATTATTAGATGAAATTATATTGAACTCCCGCTCACTGTACATTAATGGGATCAATGAAAATTTTTAATCAATAATAAATAATTTGAAATAACCTTCATTTTAGTTAATCTCAACTAAAAATGTTGTTTGCTAATATGTTTTAAAAAGTATATTGCTATAATTTTTCAGATCAGTGAGGCAGTGCCCAGGCATCAACCTTCCTTTGGAATTATAAGGTGATCTGGTTATTAAGGAGAATGATGTAAAACTGGAATAATAAAGAAAGAGTGGATTTGTTGTATCTCTTCTTTAACATAACAATTAATTATTAATATTTATCGATAAAAAATTGCAATTTTGAGTTTATTAATTCTGACATATTCTTGTAGCCTTTTCTTTTTCAAAACAACCTAGTGTGGTTGTTGCAGACTTTGTTCTTCTCTTTGATTCACATTCATATACCAAATGAACGCAAAACTGGAAAGTCCAAGAACGAAAGTGGGTAAGTAATTAAATAATTAAGTCGGCCAAACTAAACGACAGAAAACACTTTTTTCAATATGCAACACTCATACGTATCATCTAGCTAGCTCGAGAATCTTTCAAACACAATAATGCAAAAGATATGTAGGATGAGGGGAAGAAAAAGGTGGGCAGAAGATAAGAAAGGAATATTTTTCTTTAACCTAGACGAATTCAAATATGATTCATCACATGAATGAAACTTTGAATGACAATTTGTTTGGATATCTTTATTATATATATATATATATATATATATATATTTTTTTTT